AAAATTTGTGTCTTAATTTTGGTTTTAAGAAAATATAAAAATTATGCTTACTATTTTTTTGATTTTTATCAAGTTCTTCGTCTTTATAAAAGTTGGTTACGTGATCACCTCGTTGTAAGGACGTTTCTCTGGATGATAACCCCAATTCGTCTTTTAGAGAATCAAATCCGGACTGATCTAATCTGACCTTTGCCAAGGCTCGTTCCATATCATCGGTTACTAATTCAACATTGCATATGCATTTGGATACAATATCTTGCCGACCAATTTTGTTCAGGGCTTGTTCAAGTTGATTACCTATGAAAACAATCTTTCAAAATTCTATGTCTACGTAATGTTAATATTAAAAGATTTCTGTTGAAGAGTAAAGTTTGTTGGCAGGGCAATACTAGCAGTTTTGCTGTCCTCAAAGAATAAGGAATGTCGAGTGTTTTGTAGTGTTAGCTATAGTCTTTATCTATAGTTGTAGCTTGTTTATGTCAAGTAGTCACATTGTTAGAGTTAAGTTTAAGATGATTAATTTATATATGTTTCTTGTTCGAGTTATGTTCACTTACTTAGTATTGTTATGATAATAAATGAATCAAGAAGAACATAGGCTTTGAATTAATATCTTAGAAAAGGGCTTCCACTTTAAATAAATCAGAATTTCTATATTTCAATAGGCAATTCTGTAAATCTCCTTTAAATAGCCTAGTTTATACATACACCTGTTTTTATAGATGCATATATACACACAATGGAATTTAGTTTATAACAACATCCTTTAAATAGCCTGGTTTACACATACACATGATTTTTTAGAAGCATATATACACATAATGGAATTTAGTTTATAATAACATCATTATTACAATTCTGATGTAACGTCAGTTTTTAGTAGTTGCGCAAAACTATTCAAAACAACGAAATATTAAAGGTGGGAGCGGCGGAAAAGAAAAGGTAAAAAATGTTCAAAATGTGGTATTTACAGCTGAATGATGAGGAGACCGTGGATAGAAGCATTAGAAAGAATAGAACAGAGGACTCTATGGAAATCAATAAAAAAGAGGCGAGATAGAATACTAGGACACCTCAGGCATGAAGGACTAAGGACTAGTCAGAGACATATTAGAAGCAGAAAGTTAAGATGAGTAGAGGTAGACCTGGATTAGATTAGAGTTCACAAATAGTTAACTAGTCTTAGGACTTATGATGATGATAATGGCCGTTAATAAGCTGGACGTTTATGGCGAAATCTTAAAATACTAAGTACAAGTACATCGTAATAAACATTATATGTATTATTTACCAGTAGCCCTATTCCCTTTTTGTCTTAACCATAGTCGGAACATAACCATCGATTGCTGTGCAGTATTGTTGGTATATTCTTCCTTAATTATTTTGATATCTGATGGGGGTATTCCAAGTTCTGCTGCAAGTTTTTCCATGTCACCGTTAAGTAAGTTACAAATATCTGAAAGTCGGAAATCTGCTCTATGTATTGCATCAGCTTTACCTGAAATTAATTTTAGAAGTCGTTTAATGAATAATATATTAAGATAAGGGAAACTTACTTATTCCACCATGTTGTAAATAGCTGTGATCATTATCTAATGACAGTAAATCTGAATGAGAATCTCGGTCAGGCAAAATTTGAGAAGGAAGAATAAGATTTAGAGTGCAAATTGGCGTTTGTGGTGGATCTCCACGTGCTACTTTAGGATCTGTCATAAATAGAATAAGCCCAGATGGTTCTTCATCCTATAATAAAAAATAATAAGGGAACTTTCATTAAAGATGTATACCACAAATACTTATTATTTGCTAAATTGACAAATTTAAAATGTTAAAATTATTGATCGTACAATAAAAAAAATAGTAGGCCATCGTTTAGTATATTTAATTGCACGTCATTCCTATCGAAAGGAACTTTATCTGAGTTAAAGTATTCTTAATATTTCAAAGTACGATCATACCAGAAAAACCCATTTCTAGGTAGTGTATTTTTTGATTTATTATATTTATACAAATTTAACATAAGGCAGATTATTTTACAATTAAATGTTTTTGAATTTTATTTGAGTAGGTTTTCTTGTAGGAAATTTAATGCTCTACAAAAAAGGTCTATTATAATTAAAATATCTTGCAAATCTCGAAAATTTGTAAAATACATTAAACTTATGTAAGTTTGAGAAGAAAAAAACATTAAATAGCTTAAAAAATTCTTAAGAAATAGAAGGAATTTCCTCATGCTATTTCCATTTAAAATTATGAGTGTCGTGGGACATGGGTTAATATTAATATTAAGAACTGTAACTTGACAGGATTTTTTTTTTATTTGGAACCAATTTAGGGCTATCGTGGAAAATAATTGGAAAATATCTAAAATAAGGTCCACCCTAACGTATACTACAATAAATAACTTTCAAGTAAAATTATTACTAATACAACACCTTTTAGTAAATGAGGTTACATAAAGGTTAGCAGAACTCATTATATGCTAGTATCTTTAACTCAAAATGAAGTTTTTGATCAAGAGAATCAACACTAAGGTTGTTATGATGACAAAAACAGCAATACTTACTATATCTTTAATTCTAACAGAAAAAGCTAATCTGTTTTCTCGGAAGGCCACAAAATCAAGTATGGGTTGATCACCAGATTGCAATATCGGTATTAGATTTCCAGAAAATTCCATGTAAATGTTTCTATTTTCAAGTACCTAAAATAAATTATGTATCAAAAAAAAATTCATTGGCATGCATTCAATTGTTTTACTTCAACATCTCTACTTTTCGCTATTTCAGTGAAATGTTCCTGATGCTCCAAGGTCTTTTCTTCCTTATCATCGGTCATACAAAAAACTCTAATTCTGGCTTCAGAGACACTAATCCGTTTTGCAAATATGACAAATTTGGCCATAAACGGTACATGTGCTGACTGTAAGTAATAATAAAATTAATGGTTTGGTGCAAGGTATTTTCGAGGAGAAATAGGTTTAATTTAATTAAAAGTATTTTCTCTTAAAGGGAAAAATAGAGAAAAAGATAGCATCTAAGCACGTGACGCCATAGAAATGAATTGCTGTGTTGTCGTCTGCAACAATGTATAAATTTCTTAAAACAGGAAAAACCCGTTTTTTTCTTTATAGAAAATTTTCACGCATCTGACAAACAGTAGATGCTAAAATTACAATCTGATAGTAGCCCAGTTATTAATCCAATATACAAAGTTTTTCTATGCCAGATGCCACTATAATTTGTCTGAAATTGTTTTGCATATTTCTTTTTCGGTACTACATTTACATTGAATTGAAAAAACTAGAAAAAATCTACCCTGATATATCCCCTTAATAGAAACGGAACGTCGGCTGAATTTTTACAAATTAATGTATTTTTAAAACTGTAAACGTGGCTCTGATTTCATAATATAAACTTCATAATGGGAAAAAATTAGTAACTATCATAATGACAATTAATGAATTCTTGTAAGAGATGGATCAGCTTTTAATAAGTTAGCATTTGTATGTACCTAATTTTTTAGTCCAGCCGTTATCGCTTATTAGTCCAAACAATAGAGGTAAGGGGTTTCCAAAAATGCTAACAGGGAACAAAAAATATGGTCGTATAGTCGTAGTTCTATATGACCATATGTTTTGTTTTTTGCATTTTTGGGGAAATTTAACATTCGGTTATTCTTTACTAATTGGACTATATGTTCTACACGATGTTCCGCTGATGATTTAATGGGAGTTAGGGATTGTATATTTCTGGTATTATCGCGGAATGCTGAATATTCAATCAACCGAAAAGTACAATTTCTATCACCAATTGAACCATCAATAGAACACCAAATGCAGGTATACAACATTTATTATAGTGGTCTCGAAGAACTAAAACTATTGTTTAAACTATAAGGAAGGAAACTGAAACGGAGTACACAATACTAAAATAAAAATTTTTCTTACAAAAATATAAAGCTCTGTTGCCATTCGAGCAGATTCTGAAACATTTCTACAGTCCATCAGCCAGAATCGAGCAGAAACGGTTGTAGTAAACGATACACAATCCTTGATAAAGGTGAGTGGTGTTGATCCTGTTACATCTTCCCAAACTGCTTTAGTCTGGCCTCCTTCAATACAATTAAATGTAAGTTTTATTGAAAATATATTTTATAAGAGAACTGAAACGAAGCTATAAAAAACACTAGGAAAGAAAAAATGTAGTAAAATAGTAATTAACACGAAGCACTTCAAAGCACAACATACCTGAGTTACCTGATTTAGGTCCTATATGAAGCATGAATATCAAACAACAATTGCAACATACAGGATAGTACTTATTTATATGTTAAAATTCTACATACTACATACTTTGAAGTCATTTTTTTTAGTAAATAGATTTATAAGAAATGTAATTTGATAAAAAGTACTATCAAAGGGGTAGCACACATTTGAAAAGGCCAGAAAATTACACTATATACTTAAAGAAGGAATGCGTATTAGTTTAAGGTAAACAACGGCTTTCCAAATTAATAGTATTAATGGAAAATAATATTTATGTATATTTTATTCATTATTTAAGATGGCGTATAATCGACAGCTTTCTCTTAGCAGAAAGGGTATGCTTTTACAGTTCACCTCGCGTTATTTGTTTTAGTAAGTGAAATTAAAAAATTTACTAACGAAATTATGAAGCCGCTAAGATATCTAGTAAAAATCCTCTAGTAGGACACGGACTAGTTAATTGCTAGTAGTTTATTAAAAAAAAACATATTAACACCGAGATTTTCACTTATGAATAATTCCATTGTTCCCTTAATGATGATTTGATTAGATGATTTCTAGCGAGAAATAGGATACAGAGGCAGAATTAGCGGAAATGCGGAAATTAAATGCAGGGGTCCACTATACTTCCCTGTAATTATATTTTAATTTACATACTCATGTTTTATATTTTTGCAAGAACTCGTTTTGTTGCATTGGTTTTTTGAAAAATAAATTACTTTCCATCTCCACCGCAAAAGATGTATCATATCACACTATCAATAAAGTTACATTAAACCCTTCGACTTTTTAGCACTTGTACATTACTTTCTGGATACTTATTTACAAAAACTGGTATACAACTTTTTTGTATATAAATTATTTAAGATAGAATATTTACCTGTTATGGAACACAGGAGTCGTAATGTTGGAGCTAAGCCTGAGTACTGATTGATCATTCCTTGAGAATGCGCTCTGGGAGCTGGCATACTTAAAGTGATAGCTTTATGGAATTTTCTTCGCCTTGGTTCAACAGTAACTATTGGAGATACTGCAACTCCATGGCCTAGAAGTTTTGCAACTACTTCTGGTTCAACTGCTTGTGCCTAATAAATAAACAATAAAGTATGTTACATTACAATATAAGAAAAGTAATGTTACATAGATTAGTGGTAAGTTTATGAGACTAAAAAAGTTACCTGAAGCCCAACTTTAATTTTTTTCGTTAACGCATTTGGAGGGAAGACGGCTTGCACTAATGGAACAGCAGTACTAGAAACAGTGCCACCTTCGGGACCAATAGCATGAACTTCTTGCCTCACCCTGGAGACTATAGCAAAGTAATGTGGAAAATCATTTGTTAAAATGCGTGTTATTCGACTTGTGTGAAGATCTTCAATTTGATTCAGTTCTGAAATAAAAAATTATAATTTCTTTAAATACCAACAGGTTCACATATTGTATACCTTCTCCATCAAAACTGTGATTTAAAACATCCTGAATAGCTTCTTCACTGGCTTCAAGAGTATGTTCTTTCCATGTTTCGCCTGTATCTGACCTTAGAACGATAATTTCACGTTGCTTTCCTCGAAGAGATGCAAAGTGTGGTATCTCAAGTATGACTGGCCTGATTAGTTAAAAAATAACAGAGTTTGGCAAATGGCTTTCAAATAATAACCAAGAAGTATATTTGATAGTCTCACAATGAATATTTTTTAATTGAATATTTGTTGCGAAGTAAAGATCTAGGAAAATTGAAAAAGTGAATACCGAGTTTATTATGAATTTATACGCTATATACAAATAAAAATTAAAAAATAAGTTCGCAGGGTATTGCATATCCTACAATACCACTTTCAGTACTAATGCATAGAACTTTTGAATTTATTACAAATATATAATATACTAACTTTCCTTGAAAAAAAAAAAGATTTGGATATCTTTCGATTTGTAAGAATCTACCTATAATGAAGGCAAGCGGAATATTAGTTTTTTCACTTTATTCCACTTTAGATAAATTTACGATTCATTTTTTTGTGGAATATCATAGAACAAACTTCATGTTAATGTACAGTTATTAATTTTAACAGTTCTAACATTTTGAAGAATTTTTTAATCCATGTAATGGCTTATTAAGTACGCATAGAGCATTGCATCCTATTCCTCTGTAGGATAAATGTTCACGTCCTCCAGATTATTTTGTTGAATAAAATAGTGATACAATCTATTCTGGAGGCTTTGTAAAATTCGTTTGTTATCTCGTCAGAGCTGGATGACTTTTGTGACTTTAAGTTTTTTATAATTATCATTGTTAGCCCTACCTCATATCTTTGTCAAAATATGGGTAGCAACAGCCTACAAATTCATTATAACAAATTGCTTCTTGTGGAACTAGAGCTCTAGTCTGTCCAACTTTTTCCCGATATTGTAAAATACTCTGATGCTGGATGCTGACTAGAAGATGGAAGGACCTCTGCAGAAGTTCGCCACTCGTGCTAGCCAAACGTTAGGAAGCAACTCCAATACACGGCCTTTCGACCCAAATTAGAACAGCACCTACAGGCCGCGAAAGCCTTTACCAGTTTGTCATACTTACCTTATGATAGTTTGGAGTTACACTTGGGGAATTTTAATTAAGGGAAAATTTAATGTGTCATTGTCAAAAATACATTCGAAGTTGATAAATTAATAATAATCGTCCAGTCATATTAGAAGTTTCACCTAGGAATGAGATATAATAAGCTGTAAACTTGTACAAACAATTATTTTGCCATTCTAAATGTTGTGCCAAAAATCACATAAAATCTCGTGTCCGCATTTTTTGATATACAAGGTCAAAGGTCACTAAAATCTCGCTTCCTATGGTTTCAATTACAAATTGTATATACAGCATAAAATTTTATACAAATTTTGTTCCAAATATTTGTTTTTACCCTAACTGTTTTTGTGGTAGAGCGCGGAGAACTCGCTGTACTTAGCCATACATGGCATAATGCGAAGTTCCGGTTATTAATACGTCATATAGTTAATTAATCATTAAAAAATCCATAACTACAAATAATCTGTATTATTTACTAATGAATATATTATATNTATAAATTACTTTCACAATTTTTAACTGATAATACGTAAAAATATTGTTTTAAGTTAAAGAAATTTAAAAATGTTCAGTGAATAGCATGGTTAAAATAGCTATCTATATTAAACTTGTATGCGTATATAATCGATATACGATAAAATTCGCACATACAACTGATTAGATTATTCAAATAAGATTTTATATTTATCCGTTTAGAAAAAGTGAGGTATATTGTCGTGTTTATTAAAAATAACGTGTTTACTACATCATGGGAACAAGCAATATTACACGACCCCGAAATGGCATTTATCTTATATTAAATTTAATTAATCCTTTTTGTTCGCTTCACGCTATCTATTAGTTTCCAATTAGATTTAATCCGATGTATGCTGATTCTAGGAAGATTTCGTGTGAGTTTGGGAACGGCGAAAGAGAAAAAAATGGATGTGATAGAGGGTTCTCGGCATCTCAGGGAACCCGGTATGAGCAGAAGAAAAAAGTGAAATTTGAAACCGATAAAGTATGTTGCGCCTCACCTAAAACCTCTACTTATTCAAGATTCATACCAACAAAAACATGTATTTTAAGCTTTCAAAAAGGCAAAAGATGCAAAACCATATTTCAACTTGTATCGTTTACAACTGGTTTAATAAAAACGTTGAAAGTATTTGTTGTTTATAATTAACTTTTATAATGGTATATATAAGAACCATTGGTATCCAGTGATTCGTTATTTTTAAGGTTTTGGTATATATAACTCGATATAAAGAGTTACTGAAGTTATAAATTGTGTCTGTAATAATAATTAGGAAACGTAGTCTCATATTGAATATTTTATGTATATATTAATTTTAATTAGTTAACAATTACGTATCATACATTGACTACAGTTGAAGTTCAAATGCGAGGAGGAATTACGCAAACTTTAATAATTAGGACATAAATATCAATTTTCTTTTTTTTTTCGTCATAGTCTTCCGGTGGTTTGAATATTTTTTATTCATTATTATCATCTTCGTTTTCAAGGATACTTGTCTCTAAACCGTCAAGGATTTTGGGTTCCAATGCATTTTGTTCATTGAGATCTAAAGTTAAAGAACATTGCAACCCTGATTTCTTGTATCCGCAGCGTGAACCTAACCATTTTCGCACTTGCAAAATATTGTGTTCAGTAGTTCATTTGGAGCTGGTGGTAATATTTCGTTATCGGTTCCAGGGGTTCATTTTGCAGCACCCAATCCCATTTCTGGGGTTCTAAATCATTCCCTAACCAAGTTTGAACTTGATAGTATACACACGATTGATGTGTTGATTCCCTTGACTCACGGTTGACGTTGTGCTAAGCGCTGCGCGTTCTTCGCGCTCTACCTCAAGGACGGTTAAGCGTATAAAAAAATATTTCGAACAAAATTTGTAGAGAATTTTATGTTCTCTAATTTTCATAACAGATGCAAACGTCATTGAAACCATAGGAAGGGAGATGTTAGCGAAAAATCGATTTTAGTGAGCTTTGACCTTGACTATCTTAAGACGCGGACACAAAATTTTATATGACTTGACCCAACATTGAGAATGCCAAAATAAAGGTTTGTACAAATTTACAGCTTCTTATCTCTCATTCCAAGGTTGAACCTCTTTTTTAACTTACAATTAATTGACTGTATTATAACTCAATATTAGAAAGGCGGATTTACCCAAAACTGGAAAAATTGGCAAGCACAAATAAGTTTGGGAACCATTACGCTGAAGTTTATAAACGCACACACTTTAATAGTGCAGAATACATACAATCGTATTCATATTCGGCATGTAAGGCTTGCGTTTCAGATAGTTAGCGCGGAAATTATAACTGGGACAATAAATGATTTGGCGTTTATTAAATTTAGTCTTCAGGAGGAATACCGCCCCCCTGAATTGCCCTTACTGGAATTAAAATGTTTTCTCCAATTGTGTATATTTATATAACTCACCCCAAAAATTTAGCACCAACCGGACCAAGCTCTAGAATTCTGCTGGCAAGGGCTTCTCCCTCCATTAAGGGGGGAGGATTGGCAACTCTTTGAGGTCGAACATATCGACAAGTAATCCGTATTGGACTAGCTGCGCATTTGGGAGGAACAATAACTCTAACTCCGGAATGTCGACAGCCTCTCATGGCCCCACCTCTTGCATCAACAAGGAATGACACCAGAAAACTATAAAAAAATCTCTTGTTATTAAATACCAAGACGAGTTTTGTTAATACTTTATCATATCCACTGTTTGTGGTATTACAGGTAAGTCGAAACATGTACAGTTTCAATAAAAACCTTTCTATGACATGAAAAGGCATCTTTTTTTGTTAACAATATAAAAAATGCTTCAAAATATTTTGTTCGCTTCATTAATAATAATTTTATTATTACAAGAATTGCTAATGAAATCTACTGCTACCTACCAAAAGAAATTTTTGAAATACATATCAAAATAACAAGAGTAAGTTTTACATGCATAATTGTTTTCATGCAATGCAGTTTCTATTCTAATTACGAGTGTGTTGTAGGAATTTATTTAAAGATATTGGGTTGAAGGTTGTACCTATGTACATTGAATATGTGTAAATGCTTAAAAGCTAGATATTTACTTACGACATTTTTAAAATTTCTGTGTTACACAGTTTATTTATTGTGCATAAACTGGATTTTACAAAATGTGGTTTTAAATATTTTTTTGATTTATATGTAATTTTGTTATATACATATGTACATATGTATGATACAAAACTATATTATTAAATTATTTAGTATTAACGTATTACCAGTACTTCAGGAATATTGATATCTAACANAATAATTATTATTTAGTTCACTCAATTACATGTGTTAAGAATTTATGTACATTTAATATTATTAAAATGAATGCAGTATATATAAATTACTTTCACAATTTTTAACTGATAATACGTAAAAATATTGTTTTAAGTTAAAGAAATTTAAAAATGTTCAGTGAATAGCATGGTTAAAATAGCTATCTATATTAAACTTGTATGCGTATATAATCGATATACGATAAAATTCGCACATACAACTGATTAGATTATTCAAATAAGATTTTATATTTATCCGTTTAGAAAAAGTGAGGTATATTGTCGTGTTTATTAAAAATAACGTGTTTACTACATCATGGGAACAAGCAATATTACACGACCCCGAAATGGCATTTATCTTATATTAAATTTAATTAATCCTTTTTGTTCGCTTCACGCTATCTATTAGTTTCCAATTAGATTTAATCCGATGTATGCTGATTCTAGGAAGATTTCGTGTGAGTTTGGGAACGGCGAAAGAGAAAAAAATGGATGTGATAGAGGGTTCTCGGCATCTCAGGGAACCCGGTATGAGCAGAAGAAAAAAGTGAAATTTGAAACCGATAAAGTATGTTGCGCCTCACCTAAAACCTCTACTTATTCAAGATTCATACCAACAAAAACATGTATTTTAAGCTTTCAAAAAGGCAAAAGATGCAAAACCATATTTCAACTTGTATCGTTTACAACTGGTTTAATAAAAACGTTGAAAGTATTTGTTGTTTATAATTAACTTTTATAATGGTATATATAAGAACCATTGGTATCCAGTGATTCGTTATTTTTAAGGTTTTGGTATATATAACTCGATATAAAGAGTTACTGAAGTTATAAATTGTGTCTGTAATAATAATTAGGAAACGTAGTCTCATATTTAACTTTACAATTATTAATATAAATGTGTAAATCTTAATGTGTTTTTTAGAGCAAATACGCTACTTTTCTGTTACTTTTTGTTTACGGAATGATTGAGGCATTGAATAAAAAAATATTACCTACCATATAAAATGCCTTTTGAAAAGCAAGCTAGGAAAAACTATATGCAAATGCGTCTAATGAAATGAAAGCTTGCATAAAAAGCATAAATAAATATAACTTGTATTTACAAACTTACTTCTTCCATCTGCAGAAAAGTGTATCCATAAAAATAAAAATTATATGATAAAATTCAAGTATTTGTAGGTATATGTATATATACACTCATAAAAAAGGATGTGTAAGCGTAATAAATATATACAAAAAAATATAGGTATTAAAAAAGTTACTGGTACAAAATGTACAATAAGTTATAGAATTATAAACTGCTTTTCTGATATTTCAGTTATTTTTGATAATATAATGAAATGTTTTGCTTCGATAGGCAAAACATTTAGGTACATAGTTACGTATTTTTTGTTTTTGAATTGAACATTTTGAAAAAAAAAAGGTTGCTTTCATCCCAACTGATCCAAGGTTCAGTGTAAGAATTAAGGATACACGTACTGATGGTCAAATAGTGGAAAATACTTTATACTTAAAACTTGATATGAAAAATAGATAAGTTACAATAAGGGTTGTAAGAGTTTATTCTTGGGAAAACTTAACTAACGTTTTGCCTCCTCATACGGGACTTTTTCAAGGCTGCATTATACATTTTTTTTATTAATAAGATACTTGAGTCATTAAAAAATCAGAGACCCAATGTTAAAAAACCATTTTGGGTTGGTTGACAGATTAAGAAGAAGAAGAAGATTGGCATCCCTAATAATCATATTTATATATTTATTTAATTTAAACCAGACAATTACAAGGCAGCAATTTCCATAGAGGTAAAATACTTGGTAACTGGGGTTGGTAAACTTAATATTAAGTGAATAAATTAAATTTAAAAATCATATTCAAAATTAATTAAGTAATACCTAACAGAAACGCTAACAATACCAATTGTATTTCATGCCATTTTATAAAGTCCTTATCCTAAAGCAATACAATATTAAAGAAAATATCCAGACAAAGGTTTTTAAATTCGTTTTTCTTTTATCCGTACTTTTAGTTTCATTTTTATATAACTCTTCCTACCGTTTATTGTCTTAAGTTCAGCTGAAGCATATTAAAAAGTTTAGTGGCCACATTAATACTATATTTATCGCTACTTTTTTTTTTACATTTTTGGGCCCTTTAATTAGTTTTCTTCTTGTTGCATTAACACAACATTCATAGATACTATTGTTTTAAATCAGTATATTGATACATATAATAAATGAATATAATGAACCAAAGATACAAGTAAGAATTGTTGAATGGTATTGAGTGGATAGTTATAAGATAAAGAAGTGTTACCAATTATTTTACTTTGTACTCATTAGCTTAGACTAATACAATTATTTTAAGCACCGTATAAAGAGAATCAAAATTGTCAAAATTTAATATCCAAAATGCTGCATTAGAGAACTGCCTAAGAAAATAAAACGATTGTCTAAAAATTGCAGTATTAATATCATTTTTAGTCCACATAATACGTGTGTCAAATTATTCTTCAAACACAGAACCAAAATAAAACTAGCTAAATATCACACAAATTTCCTTGCAATAATATAAGTTTGGGGGGGGGGACGTCAGCGGAGTTTACCCAATAATAAACTTGTAGAACCCTTAAATTAGTTTTATTTCCACTAATTAAATTTAAGAGGAAAGGAAAAGATAAATATTACACAAATATGGCAAATTTCACTTCGTTGCATTTATAATTTCTGAAGAGTATGACGTGATGTAATATACATGACGGATGTTGAAATCTTGCATTAAAGGTTTATTTTCCTTTTTGTACCTGGTTATTGAGGAATTGCACCACATACTTACTTTTGATATAATTAAAAATAAACTTGCTTTTAAATTCACGTACAAATTTGCTTCATTGCATCATATTACAATACATTAAGTTCCTACATAAGATTGATCTTAGTTAGATTTTATTTGTGCAAGCATTTTTCGAATTAAATTTTAGTTAGTTAAGATTTAAATAATGTCAGGCAACCTTAATTCAAAGTGTCAGAAATTAGTTAAATTTATTCAAATAAGATTTTATATTTATCCGTTTAGAAAAAGTGAGGTATATTGTCGTGTTTATTAAAAATAACGTGTTTACTACATCATGGGAACAAGCAATATTACACGACCCCGAAATGGCATTTATCTTATATTAAATTTAATTAATCCTTTTTGTTCGCTTCACGCTATCTATTAGTTTCCAATTAGATTTAATCCGATGTATGCTGATTCTAGGAAGATTTCGTGTGAGTTTGGGAACGGCGAAAGAGAAAAAAATGGATGTGATAGAGGGTTCTCGGCATCTCAGGGAACCCGGTATGAGCAGAAGAAAAAAGTGAAATTTGAAACCGATAAAGTATGTTGCGCCTCACCTAAAACCTCTACTTATTCAAGATTCATACCAACAAAAACATGTATTTTAAGCTTTCAAAAAGGCAAAAGATGCAAAACCATATTTCAACTTGTATCGTTTACAACTGGTTTAATAAAAACGTTGAAAGTATTTGTTGTTTATAATTAACTTTTATAATGGTATATATAAGAACCATTGGTATCCAGTGATTCGTTATTTTTAAGGTTTTGGTATATATAACTCGATATAAAGAGTTACTGAAGTTATAAATTGTGTCTGTAATAATAATTAGGAAACGTAGTCTCATATTTAACTTTACAATTATTAATATAAATGTGTAAATCTTAATGTGTTTTTTAGAGCAAATACGCTACTTTTCTGTTACTTTTTGTTTACGGAATGATTGAGGCATTGAATAAAAAAATATTACCTACCATATAAAATGCCTTTTGNTTGGTAGTAATGTACTCTAATTTATTGTAATACCCACTACTAACTTATTTATAGAATGCAGGTGGAGATGAATTTATTAGATCTGTTTGGGCATTTGGTAAAGTTATTGTTTTTAAAACTGTTAAAAAAAAATTTAAGGTGAGTATTAAGGTAGAAACATTTTCTATTTAAATGTATTAACTTATCCTTGCAATGAATGTGCATTGATTCTAAAATCGGCATATACCTATTACAAAAGTTAAATTAGATTTTCTATAATTTAAAAAGTAGAAGGGTACATTAACAAACGTTAAAAAAGGTATTAATTTGATCTAGTCGTAGGTGCAATCCATTTCAATATTATCGTAAGCATTTTGAAGTTATGCTGACGTTTAAATTGGTTTATTAAAATACTTAAATATAACAACATAAGAAACATTAGAAAACTCGAATATATAATATTTAATAGTAGGTACGAGATTGACCGATTTAAATTATATAAATAAATTTACGACTTTTGCCATTAGAACAAAATCGTTCCAAACAATAAAAAATTTAAAATTACATTCCTTTTTGGAGCAGTCCCTGTCGGAAAGAACCATTATAACAAGAAGTGAAGAATGTAATGACTGAAGTTAATAATTATAATATTAATATTTAATAAGCTGACAACTTTATTAAAATTATTTCTCTTAATCGTCGAATTATGAAAAGAAAATGATATTTACGGATAGAGCCTATAATAATACGCACGTCACGCGCCTCAGAACAACTGCTGAAACGGTGTTTCTCAAATAAGTAGTAAGTTTTGAAGAGTGTCAATTAAATGTAATAGGGTATCGTATGGTGAGTACAGTAGCGTGGTGAAGGGACAAAAAAATTTGATGAACGGCTAAGAAAGTTTAGACGCCTATCACGATGAAAATGAAATAACAGCGATTGTTCATTGCTGATAATAAGCAGCAATATTTAAATTACACCTCACTATGTGTGTATTATGAACACAAAAGAAAGAACATTTACAGAAAACCATTGTCGAAATCGCGAACGCCGCACGTGATGCGGATTTACGTCACACCAGTACTGATTATAATGAAAATTGAAAATTCTACAGTGAGACACTGACCTACTCCAATGACTGATGTAGTATTGCTGAAAGAGCTGCATATCGATTGAGTAAATACAAGGTTAAAACATTAAAAGAAGAAGTAACTACTACTACAGGTTGGCTGCAACATAGAAGTCTTGAATCACACTTAATCTAATCTAACAAATAACAAAAGAAATATACATATATACATTAAAGAATGGAGCTAGCTCAGTAAATCAAGTTTTCTGGAGAGAATTGGATTCTTTGGAATTTCCAAATACAGATAATGCTAAAGTCTAGAGGATTGCGGGATATAGTTTCAGGAGTAAATATAAAACCAAAAGAAAACTCAGAAGAATGAACAAAAAATGACGATAAAGTACAAGAAATATTGAGAAGAGAAGGCCATGACTCACAATAAAACGATTAGCTTATACTCAAAATGCTTAAAGAAAAGTAATTTGTATGTGTTGCTTTATGTAGCTACTCATTTACGACAAGCAGAGAAATTTAGGTACTATTTTTCAATATTTATTTATTGATATGCAAAATTTGAAAGAAGGGAATACAGAATTGTTGAAAGAAATTTATTTGAGGGTGCCAATAGACGTAAATGCGAATTTTGATTTTAAGGGCAATGAAAATAATGTAAGCTAACAAAAGTTGTGTTTGCAGGTTATTAGCAACCTTATGTAAGCAGTTCAATGTTCCAGACCCAATTTTCGTGTTAGTTTATATACTAGGTTACACGATAAGGTAAATAATAATTCACTGAAGACTTTGAAGTGTGTCCTGAGATATGATAAAGAAACTGCTGGCTTTAAAATGATTTTTCAAAAAAGTTATAATGCAGAAGTTCTGGGTGTATTTGCAGATTCCAATGGGGAGGTGGTTTGATGTCCAAGATACAAAATCAACAATTGGCTAAGTTTTATTATTATTTATTAAACTGCACGGTTTCTTGGACAAGTAAGAAACATCAACGAGTATGACAGTTTGTGAGACCTGTTGGCTCAGAAAATTGTTAAAAGATTTCCACTTATTTAATTTAGAAAAACCAACCATTATATATGAAAATAATCAGTTAACCATTAAATTTGCAAATAGATTGAAGCACGTTGATATAAAAGATTTCATTATATTAAAGAAAAGTTTAATTGTAGCATGATAAATAGCATATTAAGAGTGAGGATGAGCTAGCTAATTTATTTACCATTACTATAGTTTCATTTGATAAATTTTATTGAAGTGATTTTATTATATTGTGTGGCAATACCGCACGGTGTATTAGTAATATTATCTATGCTACTTTTCCGTTTTTTTGTTACTGTATTTTAGTTTGTGTTTTATGTTAGTATTAAAGTGGAGTAAACGCAGTCAAAAAAGAAGCAGTTTCAGAATAATTTGTAACTGCATAAAAATTCAAAAAAATTTTTGAAATGTATTCTGAACAGGTTAAAGTTCAAAGTCTACCGGTTGATGTTGTCCGCTAAATCTCTTTTTGTCCATTAACAAAAAAACTACAAAATTAGTTGTTAAATAATATATCTCGAAAATTAATTAAGGAAAAATCATGAAAATCAAGTACCAGGGGTTTTTGATTATTCTGGTTACGAATTTGATATCGGATTTGCAAAATTCAAAATGACGGATACAAAATGGCAGACCAAAACGTAGAAAAATTGCAAAAAAATTGTAATTTTGTTAATTCATGCAATGGTCCGCTTTCAAGCTACAATAAAGTAATTAAAATATTTAAAAAAACATTTAAAAACATGTAATACATCAAGGAAATGATACTCTTTCATCTCCAATTGGTTTCATATCATTTGATTTTTGTAATCAAAAGTTACAGTCATTTACAGCTCGCGCTTCCGTAAGCCTATATTTCAGTGTCAGTAGGCGATCGACGCAGTGTTATTTATAACCTTAGTTAATAAATTTCTACTCCAATTTAATACCCAAAATACATACCATAAGTATAAGTATATGTTTCTTTCGTAAAATTTCCCATTCTTTCGAATTGCATCAAATACAAATAAAAGTCTCAAAAAATTGCTCTTAAATTTTTAAATAAAATAGGACGCGGATACTTTTTTACGGTAGACTTTTCACTACGTTATTCTAGCATACATGAAAAATGTTGTTCATCAAAGTCTACCGGGTTACAAATTTTTCCGAAGTAAAAATCTTCGTTTACTCCACTATTATTACTCCGTATTATTCAAATAATTCATGTACATTACCATGAAAGTGTATTTCCATTGATTACAGGCAAGAAAAACATCTAAAGAAATGAAGGATATTAGCTACCTGACCCACCAACTAAACTAATTAAAAAAATTTAAATCTAGAAGATAAAGTAATATTAGGTAAGCAAAACATTGAGGTTCCATCCATTAAACAAATAATTGGCAGGCATTACTTTAAATTAAGAGTACATTAAACAATGAATATATCAGTTCCAACCAGTGCCGGTCTCAGCATCCTTGGCAAATTTAAAGTGGGTAGCATTTAGATTTCCAAAATATTACATCGATTGACTATGTTTCATAATCATAATTCATGATCATTTTGTTGAAGTATCGCATCAAATTATTACATAAACTAGTACCAATGAATTATAATTTCTTAATACATATAACCTGAATTTTCCAAAACTATGCTTATTCGTGTTTATAATATTGTATAGATGTAATCATATAACAAGACATTGCAGTAATTTTTTATTTTTAATGAAAATTTACTTTGCTATTATCAAAAAGTGCATTTTTATAGTAATTTATCAAGCTTTTCTCGATTCAAAATTCACTTCTCTTTTGTATTATTGAATTAAATTTAATACACATGTACAGGATACGCCACTTCAACAAATAGCAATAGAGCCGCTTCAATACGTGAAATAAATTTAACAATTATTGTATGGAACTAACAAACAGATAGCATAACTACTAATGATAAATTTTGTAAATTCAGATATCCAAACTAACGATTAAAAAATATGTAGATTAAGGTGTAGATATTAGCAGTTTTGGTACTTAATGGACCCCTCGTAACACATTATTTCTCAGAAAATGCAGACTGTTTTCTTCTTTAGAAACAAAATCTTAAAAGATAACATAACAGTACACAATCACGCCACGACCTACAAGGGCGTTTTTAGTCGCTTGGAACAATTTGAATTTTGTTTCACTTTTGATTCTTCATATAGCGACCGTTTAAAACATAAAAAAATTTTTTTACTGAAATATGTCTTAACATACTTATGAAATATACTATTATGGTCCATTTTTACTATTTACAGATTTTTAAGTTCAGTATTTTTTTTTCACATTTTTACGGTTAAATACAAAACGGCTCTATTAGGCCCGGTGCATCCAAACACTGCATTATTTTCAATCGCATACGAAGGTATCGAAGACGCGATCAACATCATTAAATATAGTACAACTGAAGGGATAAACAGGGGCAAAAAATTAGTGTACTTAGATTTGCAGACGATATAGCAGTATTAGCATCTAGCAAGGACGACCTAGAGATAGTTTTAAATAAAATGGAAGCGGTACTGACCGATCAGTACTGTATGAAAATAAATAAAAGTAACACTAAAATACTGGTATGCAAGGGAAAAAAAAGTGGGGAAAGAGCGAATATAAAGATAGGAGACGAAAAATTAGAAGAAGTGGCTGATTTTAGATATCTACAAAGTCAGATAAGTCAGGATGGAAGTAGTAGAAGGGATATAAAGCAGAGGATAGCGCAGGGTCGTGTTGCCTTTAATAAAAAGAAGTCACTTCTATGCTCGCGAACGGTTAATTTAGAAATTCGAAAAAGATTGATAAAGGTGTATGTTTGGAGCGCGATGTTGTACGGGTGCGAAACATGGGCAGTGGGTGCGGCGGAAAAGAAAAGGTTAGAAGCCTTCGAAATGTGGTGTTATAGGAGAATGATGAGGATAACGTGGGTAGAAAAGGTTAGAAATGAAGAGGTATTAGAAAGAATAGGAGAACAGGGGACTCTATGGAAGTCAACAAGAAATAGGCGATATAGATTAGTAGGACACCTTCTCAGGCATGAAGGTTTAGTCAGAGACATATTAGAGGCAGAAACAGGAGTTAGGAGGGGTAAAGGTAGATCTAGGTTAGACTACTGTTCTTAAATAGTTAAGCATGTGGGTTGTTCTAGTTTTAGGGAAATGCGAAGTTTAGTTCAGGATAGGAAAGAGTGCAGGTACGTGTCCAACCAGTCTTAGGACTGACGACCTTATGATGATGACTTGAGTACTGGTATGCTGGTATAGAGATTAGAGTACCTGCGTTCACCTGGATAACTATCAAGGACAACGCCGTCGTAAGGTGGGTATAAGCGTCCGATTGAAAATAACGCAATCTCCGGATAGCTTTTGCTTAGACAGCACGGTGGCGCCCTCAAAAACAACCATCCTTCGGCGACGCTGAAGTTCGCCAAGATCGGAACTGGTCTCAACTTTGTACCTCGTAAAAGTTTGGCCACATATTGGCGAGACGAGCACAGGACGTGTGCGAGACGAGCTTCACACCAGATAATGCTACGACATTTGACCGTAACTGTACATCGTTCTTTTGTACGTTTCTTCTGTCTCGAACTCGTATGACAATCGTCTCGTAGACGTTTCGTAATCGTCTTGTCAATGTGTGATTAAACCTTTAAGGTACGAGTTTCATTTTGTAGTAGTACTTAGTACAGGTTTGAATATAGGTGACCTCACATCGATGTAACGAGCACGGGAGTCATAAGAGTTCCGTCACCAACAATCGGTCGACGAGTTTTGATTATTTTTCGAATGCTCCTCCGATGTATGTTGTACAGTGGCTCGCTACAATGTAACTTTGACGTCTACAGAACGAGAAACTCGCATACGTCCCGTGCTTGTTTTGTCAATGTGTGACTAAACCTTAATACGTCACTGTACATTCTTTATGTTAGAAACTTTGAAATGGTTTTTACTTCACAACATAAAAGCAGTCATATTAAAACTAGAAATCAGTGTTATTATAGTTGTTAAACTTACCCAACAGTAATAGGATGTCTGTTGATATCCACATTGTCAGGAACCATGTGCGAATTAATGGAGTAATTCTGATGAGCATGAGAGGCATTAATATAACCTTCCCCACTTACATATGACGGTGCTGCAACAGAAAGAAATCAAAATTTAAGTGAAAATACAACTACTAAGTATTGTATGTTATTATAAGCACAATTTTAAATATAATTCACTATAAGTAAATATGTCTGTCTGCGCCTTAACCCTGACGCTCTTAATTTTTATCACAGTTTTGGTGTTGTTAAAGAACACCCCCATGTGAATGACTATCTCATTATCCGGACATTTACCACTTATATTCTTAGCCTCCACCTCCCCCGGTTCCACTTCGTCACCCCTACAATTACCAAAGGGGGATGAAGTCCTTGGACCTCCCACTGCCACCCCCGTCTGAGCTATCGCCCCATCTTCAAGAAAATTACCAATGCCAGTCTTTAAAATGAGTAAATTTAAAAGGATTGGAAAAATACTTTTAATATTACTAAATATTCCTATTAATTAAATTCAACTGTTGTTTGAACATTAGTAATTCCTATAGATGGAAATACATTATGAATCAACGGAGAAGTTACATTTCATAAGATAATCGGTCTCAAATTAATGAAAATTTAATTATAGATCATTAAATAAAAATATTTGTTGAAATGGCAATTTTCGGATTATCGGTTGCTACTACCAGGCTAGCTTCTAAAGCCTGTTAAAATAACTCCTTTTGGACATAACCATCAGATGTTACCCGTAGCGCGTGATGCTATGACTCATCCTAACATTACACTTTTTGGTTTTATATCGTCGATATAGAAGTTTCATTTCAAAAAATTCGGTTAATATATACTGAAAAACAATTCATAAAATGCAAACTACTTAGTTATGCGAAATATGGGTAATAATGGTACAACAATTAAGCAACAAGTGCATTTCTTGTCCATGATAGGTATGCATTCTAAGTAAAATTGATCGTCGCATCAGGCTACTTCTATACAGCCGTTTAACCTTATTAGTCAGAAAGATAACGATCTACTTTTATTCCGCGGTTTCTCATATCTCTCACCCTCTATAACTCTGACTGAGTTTTGTCGATATCATTTTCTCGTCGCCTGATGACTTTACTAACATTGAGCAAGATAAGAAGCCGCCGGTAAAATTTTAAAATTGTTACTAATTTGTTGTCAAGTTGCTGCAAGTCCAAAACCATAACAAGCACAAAAACTCGACCGACTGATTATCGCAGTGGCTGGTTGTTTGGAAGAAAATTAAAAGAATTCGAATTGAAGAGACAATTCTTAATGTAAAATTCGCACTCGAGTCAGTTAGAAAAGATTTGGAGTTACAGAAGTTCGATTGTATTTATAAAGAAACATGTACTTAACATTATATTGACAATCAACTAGTACAGAATAGAAAATTCTGCAAACTTTTTTATTATACCTTTTAAATTGATTTCACTCCTCAAACAAGTTCGACGATAAAGCAGAAATTTTCCATAATATGTGGCCCGAGTTAGGGAAGTCGACTTTATGGCTTTATTAAGATATTAAAAAAAAGTCAAATATGTATATAATAAGGGGAGGCGGCAATTTGTCTTTTTGTCTAGGGCAATGTAACTGCTGGAGTGAGTTATCTATTTGATATAATCTCGCAACATAATTGCTTGCAGACAGCATCTACAGTACAGTACTGCAATGACAGAGTCTGTTCTAAATTTGTTTAAATAAAACTCTGAGAAATGAGACAGGTTAGTTCTCGAAACACAAGGATCTGTCCAGTCTGTCTGTAATTATTGTAAACGGTATGCAATAGATCAATAATAAATAATAAGAATAAGAACAGTGTTGTTCTTCATGATTATTAAAAAGCACGACAGAGGATCTGGATACAAGTATCGAAAAAATAGACAGAATATTTTGTAATGCATATGTGGGTTGTATTTATTTACCTCTCAAATATTTAAAAATGTTTGTTTCGTCGAGTATTCAGCGAATATTCAAGTACTACGAAGATTTAAATGTAGGTACGTCATTGCTTGCCATCCGAGAATTTTACACCAACAAATTTTGAACAGGCTCTATCATTGGCCCTTACCCACTTTAGAAAACTATCAAAGGTTTATAAGAGCGGTGACTGAAACAGCAAAAACGCTATCCCTAAAGGATACTGCAAGTAACACATACCAGGATGGAGCGATGAACATGAACTATACAAGAAACTCTTTGAAGAAGGAGATACAGAAATAGATGACGACCTGCTACACAGAGTGGGGTATTGCGCGATGCGAGAAATAGATAGAAACAGTCGCAAACGTGGACTCCAGGAGCTGAACTTACGTAGGATTGAACCCAATTGCGCAACAAACGCGAACGTACGCCATTGAAAGCAACTAATTCGAAACTGACCCCACTTTCTAGTGACGAAGATATAATGAATTTTGAATTTTCGTAATTGGTGCGACACAAATTCGTATGTCCGACATTCTTTGCGATTTCAATAATCGGTAAATGTGTAGTTCTTAGACTTTTTTGGCAATGCCTCAATGGTTAAGCTACTGTTTTGATTGATTTGCGTTTAAAATATCTAATTGACTTTTGTAGTGTATGAACATGTTTACTTAATCTCTTTGATTAATAAATGTAATCATTTTTTTATGGTTGGACGCTAGTTGTTGCCTTAGATCTTCATTCTTAACTGAGTTTGAAAATTAAATTATGTCGTAATTAAATAGATAATTAAAATATTCCACGAAGTTACGTCTATTGTTAACAAATTTAATGCTCTAAAATGCAAGTTAACTTGACCGAAAGCTATTTGATTGACTGATTTAAAACTATTCCAAAGAGACAGTCAATTTTCGTGGGTTTCATTAGAACCAGGTTATTGATATCTAGCGAATTTAAATGAGTTTTAGAAGAAACAGCACTGATCTCATGTGAAAGAGCGAAAAATTAACTTGTTTCAAATGCGTCATACTCATGTTGTTCTATTTATGTTGCTCAATTGGTATGAGCTTTTACTTTATTTCTTCATGCCCAATTTTATTTATTTCTAATTATACAATTACATTTAGGTACTGGTACGCTGGCATAGTATTTGACAGCTGATATTTTAAACGGGTTTATAACATATTTTTAAAACATAGTAAAAGTAAAAAATTAGTTTTCGTAATTTGCAATAAAAGTATTTATGTCTTAAAAATAAAATAAACAGAAATAAATGTTTCAAATGGGTTTTAGAAGGGTTATTATTTTTAAGTTCTATGTAAAAAATAGTGTAGTTATAATTTGAAATAAATGTACTACAATAAATATTGTAACTTACCCATTGAACTACGGTGATCACTTTTTTCATCGCTAGTAACATCTAATTTCATGGAATCGTCTCCACCAAATGATTTCATATCATCCGCAGTCATATATTTGTACTGATTGTGGTGATCACCTGGATCGTCTGTCCAAAAACAGTTAGGGTATATTTTATTGCATAAAAAAATGTACTTACATATAATATAACAGTAGTAACACAGTAAGTATGTGCATAAATCAAAATCATGCTTAATGAACATAATCGAGCAAGAACTATAATTTTTAGCATTCCAAAACAATTACTTTAAATACCTTTAAAATTTCAATATTAATCCATTAAAGAATCAATTATGCATAGGTACTACAAATGAAATTCAAGAAACAATTCTAATTAATATACAAAAAAAATTCTGAAAATGTGGGAATGGAAGTCTATAAAATAATAAAAACCATTGAAGTATGAACCATTTTTAAAAATTAATCGAAATCCCGGAAAGCTACTACATTAATATATATCTGACTCTTTATAAGTTGACAATAATTTACATATAATTTAGACAATACACATAACTAGAAATTAATTATTATCAAAATTAATAGATATGTTATGTCGTGATAAAAGAGCAACTGGAAGTCCTTTACATAATATTTGCCGTTATTTATAAAAAGTCAGATAGTAAAATAACACTAATCATGGGTGCTGAAGTGAAATATTTATATGGTATAATAACATGGGTGAAACGACACAGGGATATATTACTGTTGTCACTTACTACTGTAGTTCGTTTGCCCCTGGTAAAAGGGTAAATATATATGTTGGGCATGCGCTGGCCTTCCATAATTTACTGGAGGCTCATCCATGCCACCTGTGTACAACACAACCACTACCCTTTAAAACCGATTCTATTTTACTTATATTTGGTTATGTGAAATAATCGAAGGTGTATGAATATGGAAGTTTATTCCAAAAAATGAATAATACTTAATTTTTAATAAAAGCAAAAATTTAGACAATATGCATAACTAAAAAATAATTATTATCAAAAATAATAGATATGTTGTCATGTTAAAAGTATTTATAAAAAGACAGATTAGTAAAATAACACTAATCATGAGTACTGAAATGAAATATTTATATGGTATAATAACGTGGGTGAAACGAAAGAGGGACATATTACTGTTGTCACTTAGTGCTATAGTTCGTTTTCCCCTGGTAAAAGGGTAAATAGATGTGTTGGGCATGCGCTTGCCTTCCATAATTTACTGGAGGCTCATCCATGCCACCTGTGTACAACACAACCACTACCCTTTAATTCTATTTGCTTAAATTTGGTCATGTGAAATAATCGAAGCTGTACAAACATGAAAGTTTATTTCAAAAAATGAATAATACTTAATTTTTAATAAAGCAAACATTTACTACGAAGATAAGAAATATACATCAGCATGAATTAATGTATTTAATACGTGTGTTGAAAACATTTGTAAAATTTCAAATGAGTTAATATGAGTTAATAGAATAATAGGTAATAGAAATAATTTTTTTAAATTGTCGTTTACAGTATTCTTGGTTTCCAGAGATACACTTAATAACTTTTAATTTAGGAAATAAATTTAAATAAATCAATTTTTTTGAAAAATCTTCGAGATAATTAATTTACCCTTTTTGAACTTATTTTTGTCTGGTCCCGCATTTATGTGGTACTTTATTCTTTTCCACATTATTCACCACAAAACTTTAAACGTTGAATTCTCCAATACAGTTCAAATTCACAGTTGACCGAAAAAAATTGTAATAACTATTTTTAAATATGTACTAAAACGTAACAGTCGTAAACTGCTTTAAGGTACGACTGAACTGAAATACCTTTGTTATTTTATTTAGGAAATAACAACAAACCATTTCTGTTTTACATTTATTAGCATAATTAATGCTTGTGAGTAAGTCATAAGCTAAAAAAGAAGATCTCAGAATAAGTTAATTTCACGTGTAACCTTCATTTATTGTGTGGGTTACAATACAAAGCATTAATTTCGATGTGGATAAAAGTGATTTTATAATATTAAATTAAAAACGCCAACATATTTATATATTTATATATCTACAAGGTGATTCACCGAAATCATTAATTCAAGGTACTTAGTTGAAGTTATATCTAGCTGCAGGGATTGTCAAATTTGCAGTTCTTACTACGTAATAATTCGATTTCCTGACCGGTGCACTTCCGTCCCTATAAGTTAATTCGTTAAACTAACTCTCTTTACGGAATTATTACTTTTTGTCTGTTTAATAATTCTTTTGTCCTAACAGGTTCATGTTAGTGAGATCTACTCATTTTGGACAATACAACATCCAAGGATGTACTCCTTTGCAGTACACTGTTTTAGATACTGTGCGCCTCATTGGTATTTATTAACACTAGAATTACAATACTTAAAATTTTAAAAACCACTAGGAAATTCTTTTCCACGTTGACATCTACCTTTTCATTTCATTTTATTTATTAGGGTAAGTAATAGTTGTATATAGTGTCATTGGAGAATTTTAATAAATAAATTTTTGCTGTTAAACTTTGTGTAGTAAATTCTTTTGTTTGTAAATTCATTAGACGAATACAACTGCATAAAGTTATTACTCAGATAAAGTTAGCGCAAGAAGTACATTTACACTTTTATTAAGAATGAAATGATAAGAAATCAAAATACATACACTATCCTATATTAAAAGTTATTAAGTAATTATAGGAAGATACTGATATTTCGTTCAAACAGTCGTTAAGGCATGACTTTAAGCAACACAAGTGGTTAAAAATGTACAATCAACTATTTGAATAAGATCTGAAGTACGCCCTTCCAAGTAATGAAAGTTATAATCAAAATGATGCATAAGTGTGCTTGACTTCCAGGATAGGCATAGTAGAAATCTTTTCTGAATAGCTTCAATTTAGTTCTGACGTATAATCAAGTGTGGGTGCCACACAGATGACGCGTAAGTAAGTTTCAACAACACTAACACTATAGAGGTATATAAGGGAGGATGAATCTCTGAATCTTATTAAAAAGACAAAATTTTATACGCATGTATTCGATTTCATCATCTTAAGGTTGTTAGTTTGAACAGTGGTTGGACACACCCTTCACTACTTCACTAGTTAATCATGACTTTTTTTAAAACTAGAATATCTCATACCCCTAATTACTTACTAACTAAATCTGTTCCTCTTTACTCCTACTTCTGCTTCTAATGTCTTTAACCCTTTATGTCGCAGGTGTCGTACCTATCTCTCCATTTATTTATCGATTTTCATAGCGTTTTATTAAGTGTTCACTGTTTTTTCCATCTTAACTTATTATTTTTTTTATTTATTTTCACATTTCATTCTCTATTTATTAATACTAGTAAATCGTTGTGTGCGTTATCGCGCGCACTCAATATGTTACAATTCTGTTATTCTTTTTATTGTGTTTAAAATGAAACAAATTTGATTTCTTAAAGTTAAACGAAAAACTATTATATGCATTAGTTTACATCTATCTACGTGTTCGTAAACTGTTTGTTTAAAATGATCCGAAGAACGATATATTTTAAAGCTAAGGTAAAAATATACGTTTACAAAAAAGTTGTATCTACTTAGAATTATATAAATTAGGTCTGTAAGCAATGACGTATTTTAAAATTTAGCCCAGGCAAAAAAATTGTTTTATTGATTAATTTATTTATTTTTATGGTAAAGATGCAGTTAACGTTGTTCTTCATAAATTGCTTTCCAGTTTGCAATGCGCTCAACAACCCAACATAGCAAATTTATACCATAATATATTGTAAATAATCTTTAACGAAACGATGTATCGACTTTATCCTTCTGATGATGCTAAAGGAAGATTTAAAATTCGTAACGTGAGTTTGAATTCTCAGTATTGTTGGATAGGAAGTTACAACTATATTAACGGGACTTAATTGCCAAATCTCGTACATTATTTCTCAATATTTATAAGTATTTCACATTCTCATGATTTAATGTAAGACGGCCTTTTTATTAAGTGATTTTGGTGTATATTGCTCAAGCTTTGTTTATAGATTTCCCTGCACCTATTTGTTACAATGATCAATTTGCATTTTTATTATTTTAGTCCATTCTTGTTTTCAAAACATAACTCTTGGTTTGTAGTGTTCAGATAACAAATAATAAAAAATTATCTGAATAAAAGTTGTATATGTATATCACACATTTCATTTAAGGTTGTCTCTAACTACTCCATGTAAATGGTAGAAATACTTTATAATCCGTAAATCAGAGCGTAGAGTATGAGAATTCAATAAAAATATTTAAATTTGAAATTACTTTTAACTGATAGCTTTGATGAATCACTCTGTACATTTTGTTTTTTTTGTGTATTATATGTAACTATAAAATAAACACAAACAAAATACAGCTTATTTAATATGTATTGCTGAAAATTATCTGAATTTGCTTTGAATAAAAGAAAAATAGTTCTTAAAGAGTATTCTGGTATAGCTAAATTAAATTTCATAAACCTTCACATGCATGGGAGACGGACCTTATTGCATTTATATTTTAGATTACGAAAACACTGACTCGGTTGTCAATCATGAGCTTTGCTATAAAATCAGGGAAGGAGTTCCTGATAAACTGTGAACATGATAGTAGAAGTTTTTAAGAGGTGGAAATCAAGAACGAGCGTTGTTTTGCCACGGTGCAACCCAAGATCAAGGTTCATGAGATTCTAAACTATCTCTAAATAAAATGATAATAGAAGAAAACTTACCACCTTCATCTTCCGAATCAGACATGAAAACTTCTTGCATTGCTTCTGGTGCCATTACGCGATATTTTTCTTCTATGTTTGTAGTAGTCGTAGTTGTAATATCAACTTCTGTGACAACCTTTAACTCCTCTATAACACTGATATATCCCAATTTACTTGCAATACCTAAGGCAGACTGGCCACTCTGTAATTCAAAAGTACAAAATTATCAAATAAAAATATTTGACCACACTACTACTTTATAACTTACATTAGTTAAAGCATTTGGATTGGCCTTATTTTTAAGCAGGAGACGTATGACGAGAACATGTCCCTGCTGAGCAGCCTGATGGAGAGGTGTATAACCAGTTAGGGTAACGGGGTTGACATCTGCTCCTTGTTCAAGGAGAAGACGAATTATGTTGACGTGACCATGATGACAAGCCACGTGCAGTGGTGTGTATCCAGACTTTGTGACTGCACCTGAATTGGCACCGGCTCTAAGCAAGAGTTGGGCCACAGGGACGTGGTCTTCTTGAGCACATAAGTGTAGAGGTGTTAACCCATTCTAAAATGCACCCATGAAGATAAAATGAAAGGAATAGTAATTAATAGTTAACATTAGCCTAATTTAGAAAACGTATTTATTACTGAAAAAAAAGCACATGAAATTTTCAAATTTTTAGCGTTGAAAATCTTTGTGCTCGCATATGGGTACAATTTACAAGAATTTCGTTATTTTAGATGTAGACAAAGCTTTACTTGATATAAATATTGTTGCAAAATAGAGCTCAACACAAACCTTAGAAGCATGATTTGGATTTGATTGGTGTTCAATTAATAAGGAAGACATATCGACATGTCCTTCTTGAGCACTTAAATGAAGGGGCGTAAAACCGGCTTTTGATTCAGCATCAGCTTTTGCTCCGTATTCCAACAGAGTCGTTGCGATATCCATCTATAACAAATATTTTGTATTAACGTTTGAATCAAGGTGGCACCTACAATATAAGACGAAAAAAATTAAAAATGTAATAATAAACTTACTTGATTCTTTTTAGCAGCAATATGCAGTGGAGTATGTCCGTTTTTAGCTATAGCATGAGGAGAGGCACCTTTATCAAGCAGCAGTAAGGCTACAGGTTGATGATCGTAGTGGGCAGCAACATGAAGTGGAGTAACTCCGTTTTTGCCTTGGGCATCTGCTGGAGCATCTCTTTGTAGAAGCAATCGGGCAATATTTAAATGTCCATACTTTGCAGCTAAATGTAGAGGAGTGAAACCTTTCTTGGTAGTTGCAGTTAAGTCAGCTCCATTGTCCAACAATATCGATGCCACCTGTACATTAATATGAACCTTTCATTTAATGGCAGATTTGTAAAATAATATATTTTTAAATAAAATCCTCCTATAGGATAAAGGTAAAGTTATATTTCACTAGTTTAAAATACTAAGTTTACTAAATATTTGCACATGTTTTATATAAGGAAAAACTACTTTTACTATTATTAGATTATTACAAGTGGAAATTGTTCGTGTTTTAATAACAAAAAGACAACAAATTTAATAAATTCCCAATGAAATTATATAATTTAAGAAAAAAATGTGCAAATTGTGATGTTTATACGAGGGTGGATTGATAAGTTTCCGGCCTAACCAAGAGATGACGCCACTAGGCCTACCTTGAGGTGACATTCTATAGTACCATCCTTGGATAGCTTGTAGCTATAGTTTCAGCCCGATCTCCT